TGCAAAAAGTTAATACAGCATTTTGATTGGTTAATATTAATATTATGTGTTTTTTTCATCCAAAATTTTAAAAAATAGAGAGGGGGTTATGTTAAACAGAGAATCAAATTGGTCTGGCCTTAGAGATGTCCATAGGTGTTAAACACCAATTTTTGAAACAATGCACATTATTCTCGCTTTAGGAGATATGACATTTTAATCATTCACTAAAATCATTTATAACTGACTTATCACATTTTTTGCTATAGTCAGTATTTTTTTAATTCTTGCTAATAATTGTTAATAATTCATACATATTTCAAATGGGTGATACTATAAAACATTGAATGGTTAAAAATTTTTAAAAATTTTTTTATTGAAAGATTAAAATTTATGATTTATACTAAGTTATGCTTCCAATATATTTTTTCAATAAATGGAATTACTAATTAGAAAGGCATTGATGGATGGATATCGGTATTGGAAGAATTTGGATAAAAAAAGAAAAAATTTATGTATAATATTAAATTTTATCTATTTGTGTTAATTGCGGTATGTCAACTTCAACTCATGCTTTAAAAATTTTGGTTGGCAGTTATTATTCAAGATAATAGAAGTACAGTATTTGCTTTTTATGTGAGGTAAATAAAACCATGTTTTCATAATGCAGTGATTGCATATACAGTAAGTCCAAAACTCCTATAAGCTATTGTTTTTTTCGTGCATATTTAAAAAAAATGCTATATTATACTGAACAAATTAACCATTTTTTGCACTTTTGTCAAAAGACTTGAGCAATTATTACGAGTATAAACTCAGAATACACAATATATCATATCACAATTCTTCTGATGTTAAATTCTACGATGGAAAACTAATTTTCTCTTACAGGTTTTCATTGCAATGCTCGAATCATTTTAAGTAATGTTGGCAATTTTTATCGGCCAACCATTTTTGGCCGGCCAAAAAACAGCCAATTCGGCCAAATTCATATGTTTTTTTGGCCAAATTAGCTAATTTTTTGGCTGAAAAGGCCAAACAAATTTGGTTTGGCCGGTAAAATTGACAACACTGATTTTAAGTATTATAATAGCGATAGTACTGTAGACACATCCTGTAGCCATGGCTAATCCTAATATATAACCCAAATTTTACTAGGTTACCTGTTGTGTAACTAAGTAAAAATGCTCCTCTCACAATTTTACTCTACCCTAATCTTGATCTATAAAATTTCATTTTTATAAAAAAAAAATTATTTTAATTTTAGGACTACATATAACCTATAGCTACAAATATATTAATTTAAATTTAGAAATCTTTTGATTTAGATACAAAATTTGGAAAATTTTCCATACTCCGCAACGGAATTTTATATTCTTACATAATACGTAAGGAGCATTTAATAACATAGCGATAGTATACATCGTTATTATCATAAATATCGTCACAGCTAGGGCATGCCCCCTTGGCATGCCTTTAAGCTAAAAGGCATGCCCTTTTATTGATATTTAAAAACATATATTAAGTGAAGATGCCTTTTGATTGCTTCTACAAAAATAATATTGGTACGTATGTATATATATATTTATAGGGGCATGCCTCTAGTCTAAGGCAGAGCCAGTAGTCGTTAGAAGCAAAACTAGCTAGCAAAACTAGCTAGCAAAATTAGCTAGTAAATTTTGCAAATTTAGCAAAATAGCTTATTACAAAATTTATATTTGTCAATTATAAATTTTAATGTAATCGTATGTTCTTCGATGAGTTCTTAATCTATCATTTTAGTAAGTTCACTAGTCATTATTTACAACATGCATATAATTGCACGTTTATATAAATCAGTTTAAGAACAAAAGGAATAGTTACATGCTTAGCAAATTTCGCATCTTAGCACAAACAATGCTGCTAGCTATTTTGCTAAAACATAGCGCTATTTTAGATGCTACTAAAATCCACTGGCTCTGGTCTAAGGCATGGCCCTCACCCTAGTCACAGCGCAGCGGTATGTAAATTCATTTTACATATTCAGCCATTTTGGCACCCAGACCAATTTTATATATGACTTAATAACATTTTGGCGAGTTTACTAATTTCCTCCACCACTTCTGATTGGTTCTACTATTATTCACATATCGGAGTATCTGTGCTATTAATCAATTTTATAGTACTCCCATTTTGGCAAATAATTACCTACCTACTTTGATAACCTTTTCTGGATGCCAACAAAATCAGATACATACGTATAAATTTATGTATATAGTTAGTTATGACTTAATTGTAAAAACAGAATTGACATAAACTTTATATTATTATCCTAAATAAAGTTACGGAGTTCATAATTAATCAAATGAATACAGAAAACAAATACGTATAGAAAAATCACAATAACTTACATGTGCGAGCCGTCGCAGCGCATCACTCGTGCGGTGCAGGAAACCTAAAAACTTCATAGAATAAACTCATTGAAGATAAATTAAATTTATCATCTCAATAGCGTTCTTTGTTTATTGAGATCGATAATTTAGGAAGGTTATTTTCGATGTTCTGCCGGAATATTGAGATTTTTAAATTTCCGTACGTATTAGTAATATATACCCTAAACGCAATGGTCTTTGAAAAAAGACACTTCTGATCATTTTTCGATTAGTATCCATTTCTATAAATTATATAAATTATATACATTTAATTTCACTTTAAATCGAAACTTATTTTGTCGAAAATCTTTAGTACTTTTTTAATTATGGTTATTTTTAAGTCGAAATACCCTGATGTTGAAATTCCTTGTGATGTTGGGATTTATCAATTTATCATGAGTAATCCAAATAAAATTCCGGACGACAAAGAAGTGTTTATTGATGCCATAACTCATAAAAAGATTACTTTTGGTGATTTGAAGAGAGATACAAAAAGATTTGCTGCAGGATTGCAAGATCATGGATTCAAGCGTGGTGATGTTATATGCATCTATTCTCCAAATCAGGTTCAAATTTTTTTTTTTTGATTGTATATAACTTCGTTTAATTATAAACAAATATACTATGTTTATTTTAGGTCGACTATGCAACTGTTGTATTTGGATGTTTAGCAGCCGGTTAGATACATTAGATTATATTAATTACTATATATTATCTTTATTATGTAAACAAATTTCTAATATATCGACTTTTTATATTTTAGGAGGAAAAGTATCACCAGCCAACTCTTCGTATACTGCAAAAGAATTAGCATGCCAACTACTCGATTCCGGTGCCACTGTTATAATTGCACATCCAGATAGCATATCAACAACAATTGAAGCATCCATTGACGCAAAAATTCCCAAATCTAATATATTTGTATTCGGTGATCATGAAGTTAATGGAATTCAACCTTATACTAGTATACTTAGTATACGTGAAGCAGAACCTGTTTGCTTTACACCAGAAGAAATTAAAACCACCACTGCATTCTTATGCTACAGTTCTGGAACTACGGGTAGAAATAAAGGTGTAGAAACAACTCATTATAACTTAATTGCTAATCTTATGCAAATCCGTGCTTTTGAAGGGGATAATGTTCATAGTGGCATTTGTTATCTTGGAGTATTGGTAATTATATATATAGCTTTATTCTTCGATAAAAGTGATAGATTTAAATTATTTGATGACTTTTATTATATATCTTTTTTTTTTGTGCAACCTTTATAGCCATTCTACCATATGTACGCACTTTGTATCAACATACACTTCTCTCTTCTTCTGGTAATACAATATTTTAAATTCAAAAATCATTCTATATTACACTACCTTTATGATTCCGTTGATACCATATAATTTTTTTATTACTTATAATTTTAAAAGGGATCAACAACAATCGTAATTCAAAAATTCGATATCAAAACGTACTATAGAGCGATTCAGGATTACAAAATTGATATCGCTCCAATTGTACCACCAATCTTGTTACTTATGGTGAAAAATCCTGCTAAATGTAATCTAAAGTATGTTATGTGCGGGGCTGCTCCTTTAAGTCAATCTTTGAGTGATGATTTTGACAGAATATACCATATTCCTATTAAACAAATTTATGGTAAAGAATAGTTTTTTAACTACTGTATTAAAAACGAAAGATAAAAAATGACTATTATTTTTTCAAATAGGACTTACCGAGATCTCTCCATTATCTCATATTGGACCTCTTGAAAAGCTTGTAAATGGTAAAGTTAATTGTTTATTATAAAATTTTAAATCATTAATGAAAAATTTTATCTTATAAATTATTTTATATTTAGGATCCGTTGGAGTTCTTCTTCCGAATATTGAAGCAAAGATCATATCTGAAAAAGGTCATGGTATGGCAGCAAAGTTTTTAATTATCATTTATATTACTCAAACTGATTATCATTAATATTATTAATATTATTAATATTATCGATATTGTCATTTATTTTATAGAACTCGGATTTGATCAACCTGGAGAATTATATCTTCGTGGTCCAATGGTCATGAAAGTAAGTATCATTTATTTTAAATGAATTTATGATTTTATATTAAATAAATTTCATATTTTAATTAAAAAACTTAACATAAATAAAATGCAGGGCTATCTTAATAACCAGGAAGCTACAAATAACTGCATAGATAAAGATGGTTGGTTTCGTACAGGAGATGTTGTTAAAGTTGATAAAAATGGTAATTAAATGATATATAATCAAACAAGTTTCCTAAAACAAGGATATTAAGTTTTACTTTTAATGGTTTATAGGATATTTCTATGTAATCGATCGTGTAAAAGAATTGATCAAGTATAAGGTAAATGAATATTATAAACTCTACCTATTTTTGCAATAACCTTTAAAAAAATCAACACGTCAAATTTCTTTATCGTTAGGGTTTCCAAATAGCACCAGCAGAATTGGAATATCTCCTTTTAACACATTCTGCGACAGCTGACGCGGCTGTAATCGGTGTGTACTCAGAAGAAGCAGCTACCGAAATTCCACGTGCATATGTCGTACCAAAAGGACACGAGCCAACCACAAAATTGAAAAAAGAAATTATACAATATGTAGCAAGTAAAGTGTCATATATTAAACAATTAAGAGGTGGTGTGGTGTTTGTTGATAAAATTCCTAAAAGTGCATCAGGAAAGATTTTGAGGAGGATGTTGAGAAATGGCATAGGTTTTAACGAGCTTACATTAGAAGAATCAAAGATAAAATCGCGTTTATAAAGTGTTGAAAAAAAAAGCACATATAGAACTTTCTATAATGAATTTGTCGTTTTGCTGATAAAAAAATAAATGTATTTTACTTATTAGTCATGACAAACTGACATATTAATATAATTAGATTCGTCCTCTTCATTATTAAAAGAGGAACATTAAAGATACAGTATCATTATTTACTCCCTAGCTAAGCTACAACGACCTTTCTAATTATTTCTCAAGGTCAAGCAAAAAAAAGTATTTCTCTTTTCACATCATGGATAACTAACACGTATGATATTTAACTATAACCTAATTATATGTTTTTATGCATGACTAATTATCCTCAATGAACTGATTCGACCGTGACATATCTAAAAACTTATAAATGATACTAACTTGTCTAAAAATTAATTGTCAATATATAAATTAACAATTAACAATAATGTGTTCATATGGTACCAATTTAACGTATCTTTCTAATTTTTTCTCGTATCTTTCGAATTGTTCCTTAGTAACACCATCGCTTAAGTCCACGCCCACATAATTCAAAGTTCCTCGTTTAGAAAATCTGATTATTGTTCTGACTACGTTCTCGTCACAAAATTGACTAATTAACAGCTTTTTTAAAGGTACTTCATAACAATAACAGCTATTAAGAAAACTTTCGATATATGAATCTAAATCTGAATCCATTAAATCAAGATAATGCAATGTTGATGGTAATATTTCTGCAAGCTCACAAATTCTCATTGCTATAACATCATCCCACTCGTCATCCTCACAATCCTCTTTATCCTCATCCTGTATGCAAAGATTCAACCGTAAAGTGAGAAATTCAAGTTTTTGTAAACTGCAAATAAAGCTCTAGGAGTTGTGTGGAAAACTCTATATATGAAAGGTTAAGATATGTTATGTTTGGACAGAAGGATTTAATTGTTTCAAGTAATATTGGTTGTGGCCGACTACGTTCAACTGTCGAATCAAGTTTTAGTCGTTGTAGTAATGAGCCATACTTGTCTAAAATATAAGATATACTTGACGCCTCAATTGGACAATTAGCAATCTCTAAAGTGTTGATTTTATAGAAGCTTGTATCCAATACTTTCAATAGATCTTCTTCCTCGCAATACATAACACGAAAGATCAAACTTCATTAGTACTTCGAACTCCGTACTATAATCACAACGATCTATTTCAATTTCATGTAATGATTTTTTTTGACTTTCTAAAGCCGAAATGATACCATGATATTCTGCTCCACCCATCAATTTAAATCTTCTAAGCTGTTCTTGTGATTTAATAATGTGTACAATTTCATGACATAGTTGTGGCTCGTAACGTTCGAGATTTTCAATTATCAAGCTATTAATCTTCGCAGTATTTTTTGCCAATACTCTTAATAATGTAATAGCATTCTCAATAGAGAATTCTGATGTTACACTCACTGACAAATATTGAAGTCCTGAGATAAATCGATCATTTCTCTCCAATAAGTAAAAGATCTCTGGCTTAATTTCAGTAATAAATTCAGAAAAAAATAAATCTAATTTATGTAATGTGGCTTCACTTTCGATAAATAATTTGAATAATAAATTGGCTATATGATATTTTAATGTGTTGTAATGTTGTTTTGAATCAACAATTTGGAGATCATTCCATTCTTTAACCTTGTTTTCTAAACGAGATAAATCGAAACCTTTAAAAATCTTGCATAATCGAATAATGTATTAGGAAATTCTGCATCTATTCCCCATTCTTTCAAATTAGATTTTTTGTCCTCATCAAGAGAAGACAAGTATTTAGATACGAATAATAGTTTTTGATCAAATGAAAAATGGATCTTGCCAAAGAATAGGAATTGACATTTTACACAAATATCAGTTTACAAGTGCGCAAGAATATAATGAATGAGTTTTATTATTTAAATTTTTAAGAATATTTTCCATTAATTCAGGCATATCTCCTGCAAATATTTTTGATGCCATGAGACTACTTTTGTGTTAACGAAAGTGATTTTAGAGAATAAGTTATACACTAGCATAGTGGAAAATCCATTTGATTGGACATCGATCCTTGAAATTTCATTGGCTGCTTATAGTAAACATTCTATATGAAAACTCCATTGATCATAGGATAAAATTGTTAACGAATATGATTATATCTGATTAAATTTGCCAGAAGTAAGTAATGTCAAAGAATAAAATTTCGTCAACTTTTTATTATACAAATTTATGACTTGCTACTTGCAAGTCATAAATTTGAATAGTAAATAGTTGACAAAATTTTATAGAAATTTTATTCTTTGACATTACTTACTTCTGGCAAATTTAATCAGATATAATCATATTCGTTACCGATTTATCATATGATCGATTGCGTCTTTATATATAGGACCCCTACAGCAAAAGGGGATAGGCAAAAAAATTCGAAAATTTGTTCTTATGATAATTTTATTCTAATCAATCTAATTCTTCAAGATATTGAATTTTTTTAAAAAAAATTTTT